AAAAAAATGAGCATTTGTCTCTCTTGCTACACTAGGAGCTTCTCAACAGGAGGGACTGGATTTTGTTCATCATCATTAAAGTCCCTAGCCCAGTAGCTGGCTCATGGTAAGTCGTCACACTTTATCGAACAAATGGATGGTTGGAGGAATACGATAGAGAGCTGTGAAATTCTAGCTGCTGACACGGTTGCATCCCGGTGTTCTTTTTCTGGGCCAACGGGGTTGTTGGCTTTGACCTCACTATCCCTTTTATGGACTCTGTCTCAGCAGCTGAAAGCACACAATGGAACAGTGTGCCTTTCAGCAAAGAGAGTGAGCAATGGAAAATGCAAACCATCAACCCCTGATGCAAGCAATGGCATGCTGAATGCAATTACAAATGAAGAGAAACTGCTTATTTTTACTGAAATGGAGTGAAATGCTCTGGAAAGGATTTTTCTGCTCCAGTGTTGGGTGTCCGTGTTGGTAAAGCCAGTGCACCAAGGCTCAGCATGCCCCCTGTTGGTCTTAGCTGGCATTTAGTAAGAAGAGGAATGTGAAAGAAACTTGTTGATGCAGATTTTTCTCCAACATAGGCATGCAGGGGTAGAGCCCTTTTGCAAAAGTTCTCTCTTAAGGAGGCACCAAATGAGTCAGAGATATATTCACTGGACTATCTCTGGGCCATAACTTGACTCATCCACAAATTTTGACATTCCTTTTTGAAGAAGGGGAATAGAAATACTTTCCTGATGCGAAAGCTAGAATGGTGTGGACTTAATTCCTTTTAGCAAACATGTAACCACACAAACCAAATCAACCACTAAAACGTCTCTGCAGCAACCCCTCGCCTATCCCACCTCCCTGTTTAAATTGTAATCTGTAAATATCCATTGATAGAGAACTGGTTAAATAAATATAGTACATCTATACACTGGAAAAGGAGGCAGTTCTACATGCACTGGTATGAGACAATCCATAAGATATATTAATAACTGAAAAAAGCAATGTGTCGAACTATTTATATATATATGATCATATGTGCAGAAATTTTCTGTAGAAGATTCCACAAGAGAATAGTATAATTGATGACTCCTGGAAAGGGAACTAGTTCCTAGAGACAGAGGTAGAAATAAAACTTCTTTTCACTGTATTTCTTTGGGTGCTATTTGCATTTGTGCCTCGCATGTCATCTGTTAAAATAATCTAATCAAACGAGGTTCTCTGCCGTCACTCTCCTTTTTTTCTAAAAGCTTTATCAATCCCCGATAGAAGGAACTTAAATTACTATAATACATTTCTCTTAAATTCTAAAATACATTGGTAATCTGCCAGTTCTAAGAGCTCCATGTGAATATAAGATTTATATACCAGATCATTCTACTTGGATCTCAAATGGGAAAGCCGCTTGTTCAGAGGAAACAGCTATTGAAGTGTCAGGGGCAGTATTTTATTCACCAGTCGTTAGGACGCTGTCTCAGCCACTGTGCACTGGGGCTCCTTTCTGTCTCCGTGGGTTCTCTGGATTGAGGAGATCTGGGGTCCCCACTTGGGCAGTTTTTCACTCTAACGACAACGGACGCCAGACTAGAAGTGACCTTTTGCCGAGACCATCATCCAACCAGCTGGGGAAACCCAAGCTCGGTTTCCAAAGCAGGGAGAAGGGTTGCAGCTTTTCTGTGGGAAAGGGAGCTGGTGTGGCTCCAGGGGAGTCACAGAGCCAGGGCGCTGCCAGGGAGCTAAGCAGGGGAGGATGGGCAGCCTCTTCCTCTGGACTTCTCCGCTAAGGACCCTCCCAGAGATTGACTGCTCCTTTGTACCCACCACGAATGAAAATGTGTTTTATTAATAGGTAATCCTCAAGCCAGCAAGCTCCAACCAGCACATGGGGGTGGCCCTGGTTGCCCATCTCCCTGCTCCAGTGAAAGGCTCAGAGTGCTCAGGTAGAAAGAGCAAGAGAGCAGGAGTCGAGAGACGTGGGTTCAAGCGCTAGCGCCAACACTAACCTGCGAGTCAGCTCTGGCAAGTCACCTGCCTTCCCCAGGCCCACCTTTCCCTGCCTGTCAAACGAGGAGGTGGGAATCAGCGATCTCTGATTGTTTAGCGCTGGTCTCTGGGATCTAGAGAGATGAATGGACTGAGACCCTGCTCTCTGAGACTGGTGTCAGCGAGACCTCGGTGGGGAGCGGGTAGCACGGGGAAAGGTGACTTTTAAAGGTGGGGCAAAAAGGGGTTTTACTTGTTTTATTGCCCATCTTAATCTTACTCTGTTAGGACCATTCTAAGAGGAATCTAGAGGAGCTTCGCAGACCCTCAGCACCGACTTGATCCTAACTTTTCCTTCCCTTCCGCAAACAGCCCCTCCAGCCTTTAGAACAGTGGGTTGGTAACTTGGCGGTCGAAAAGATCGTAGACGTCAGGGATCCCTTTGCGCTCGAAAACTAGGCACAGGCAAATGCAATGTTTTGCCTATACTTTCAGGGTCTCATGGTCCACCCAACTCCCAGCTGTATATCTTAAAAGGCTTTAAGATCAAGTCGGTTTGCGGATGAGCAAAAAACGGGAGAGGGAAAAAGGGAACAGGAGCGCAACACACTTAAGACCTGATTCCCTTCCTCAACTCACATTCCTCCGCCCCAGCCCGCTCCAGCTGCCTGCGCTGCCAGCGGAGGCCCTGGTCTCCCGCTCCAACTATTCCAACCATCCTGGGAAGGGTGGGGCGCTCGGCTTTCGGGTCCCCCTCCGCTGCTCCCCCTCGTTGGTCTCCCATTCTGCCCCGGTCCCTCCCTTTCTGGGATGGGGCCAGCCAATGCGCGACGAGACTCCAGGGTTTGGCCCGGGAGCCGGGGCGCGCACAGATCCCCCGCCCCACAGTTCTGGCCGCAGTCCCGGTGCGCACGGACGTGGCTCGAGTTTCCTCTGCTCTTGATCGCTCTCCCCTTCCCGCTCCTCCTTCTCTCCAGGTCTCCCGCTCCGGCTCCAGCTCCACCCGGCCGGCCCCGCACGGCTCCGGGTAGCCATGGAGGACGTCACGCTCCACATCGTCGAGCGGCCGCTGCCCGGGTACCCCGACCCCGAGGGCCCGGAGCCCTCCCCCGTGGGGGCGCCGGCAGCGGAGGAGCCGTCCGGGGCCGGCTCTGAGGAGCTGATCAAGTCGGACCAGGTGAATGGCGTGTTGGTGCTGAGTCTTCTAGACAAAATCATCGGTGCCGTCGACCAGATCCAGCTGACCCAAGCCCAGCTGGAGGAGCGGCAGGCAGAGATGGAGGGCGCCGTGCAGAGCATCCAGGGCGAGCTGAGCAAGCTGAGCAAGGCACACGCCACCACGAGTAACACAGTGAGCAAGTTGCTAGAAAAGGTGCGCAAGGTCAGCGTCAACGTGAAGACCGTGCGCGGCAGCCTGGAGCGCCAGGCCGGCCAGATCAAGAAGCTGGAGGTCAATGAGGCCGAGCTGCTGCGGCGCCGCAACTTCAAAGTCATGATCTACCAGGTGAGCCCGCGGGGCAGACCGCACCCAGAGCCCCTGCGGCCGGCCCGCGTCCCCCGCCTGGGGTTTGGGGTGAGGAGACCTGCCCGCCGCACGGCTCTCCCGCCAGCCTGGCCTGGGCGCTCTAGAGATCCACCCTCCTTCCGGCGAGCGCGGCTGGGCTGGGCTGGGCCGGGGGGAGCGGCGGACTCTTGGGCGTGCAGAAGGGCGCGCTCTGCACTCTGCGCCTCCCCACCCAGCCCCGTCCCTCGGATCTCAAACTTGTAGCAGAACCGAGTTAGGGGGCTGCACTCGGGGACGCTGCCCCTCGCAGACCGCTCCCAACTTGCCTCTGTCAAATATCTTTCTACTTGGGGGAAGTTTCTGCGACAGCCAGGGGTCCCTGGCGGCCGTTGGGGCCCGCTGTAAGCGGACACTGGCGGCGGGGCCCGGGCCTAGGGCCTCCGCGCCTGCCGGCCCGATATAGCGGGTGATTCAGGGCTCAGGCACGCACCCAAGGGGGCTGCGCCAGGCGAGGGACGCGACCGCCAGCCCCCTCCCCGGACCCCACGCCCCCGCATCAGCCTCCGCTGCCCGCCCCCGTCCCCTGGCTGCGGCGTGACCGTGGCCTCCAGGCGCTTTCAGGCCCCTGAGCACACGCTAGCCCTCTGCGCGCCGGCTCCTCGGCCTCCTGGAAGCGGGCGGGGAAGGGTGGGCGTAAGGAGTGCGCCGGGGGCTGGCGGAGGGCGGGCGCACAGCCCCCGCGGGGTTCCGCGGTCTGGGCGCGGTGAATCACCCCGCATGCCTGCGGGGGCGGGAGCCAGGAGCAGCAGGGGAGGAGGCTGGCGCGCCTCGGGCTTGTTGCTTTCTTTGCACCTCTCCCCATTCCTCCTGCCTGGGTAAAAATGGAGTTTTTGTATGCTAACCCCAAATAAACCTGGGAGTCTCAGTGTTGCTGCTCCTCTCCACTTCCCCTCCCCAGTCCCAACAGGGATGAGTCTGGACTGAGGGCTTGGTGATCTTGGGCTGGACGGGACTGTCCCCAGCCCTGCCTCCTCCCTGTTTCCCAAAAGCCTGGTAGATGCTCCTACCCCGGGAGGCGGGATCATGGGGCTGGCAGGGTCGGTCTGTGCTCCCTCGTCCCCTACCTCTTCCTACTGAAGGGAATGGGGGAGCGGGGCAGGGGAAGAAGGCTAGCTTTCCCACACGTGAGAAGACCCCTGTCAGGGAGCTGTGATTCCACTGACCCTGGTACCAGCTGGGTTCTGAGTGACCATGTGGGATGAGGTGAGGTCCTTGCTTGGTTTCTCTGGGAAGAATTAAGAGAGATGCAGTCTGGGGAGAGTAGAAACAGAGAGGTGGGTGAGCTGGTACCTGTGGAGGAGGTGGTGGTGGGACAGGGGCAGAAATGGCACTTGTGCCCCTCCCCGCCTTTACCCAAGAGACGTTTACTTAGCCTTTGAAAAGCTTTGCTTCCCCCACTTGCAGCACTATTTGGGTAGAAAATGTTTGCCCAGAGCTGTTTCAGTTTATCTAACTGCTCCGAGGAAGCAGGATTAGAGGATGAGAGGGGGACTTGTGAGGTGTTTTATTGTTTTGTTTTAAGGGAAGCACAAAAATGAGGTTTATTGAGGAGAGAGAGATAGGATTATAGGGCAAGAGCAAGATATAGGTTTACATAGCACGATAGGTACGCCACAGATGACTACCCGACCCATTGTCGCAGCAAAGGGAGAGCAAAAGGAAGGGCACAAAAAGGGCTGTTTTGTTTTTTGTTTGTTTTTGAGAGAGGGTCTCACTCTGTCACCCAGATTGGAGCTTTCTCACTGTGTTGCCTAGGCTGGAGCTTCAAGTGGTATGATCACAGCTCACTGCAACCTCCAACTCCTGGGCTCAAGCAATCCTCCTGCCTCAGCCTCCTGAGTAGCTTGGACTGCAGGCGCACACCACCACGCCTGGCTAGTTTTTCAAATTTTTTTGTAGAGACAGGGTCTTGCTATGTTGCTCAGGCTGGTCTCAAACTCCTGGCCTCAAGCAACCCTCCGGCCTCAGCCTCTGAAAGTGCTGGGATTATAGGCATGAGCCACCACTCCCAACTTGTTCTGGGGACCACGCTCCACTTGGTCCAGGGACAGCAAGCCAGCTCTGTATTTTCTCCAGAGCCTGGTGTGGTATAAGGCCACCATAAAAAGCTTGTATATGTGACCCTTCTCACTTTAAACGTCCCAGGCCATAGAACCCAGGAAAGTTCTCCGCCTCAAGGTAAACCTCCCTATGCCAAAGGTGGAGATTCTGGGAGGACAGGTATGGAGGGAGAAAGACTTCTCTGCAGAGGCCAATGGCATCTCCCAGGGATGTGTCTATATAGTGTGTGTGTGTGTGTGTGTGTGTGTGTGTGTGTGTGTGTGTGCGCACGCGCGCGGGGCAGGGGGTGAGTTCTAATCCCAGGGTGGCTGCTACTGCATCTGTACTAAACCAAGACCAGTGGTGGGCTGAGAGTTGAGGTAGCAAGAATGGCTCAAACTGAGTCCCGAAGCTACAGGGGGAAATAACTAAGAACTAAAATGGTCCCAACCCTGGGGAGGAACTCAGAAGTAAGGAAAAGATTCCAGCAACTGGGTGAGGCTCAGGGGAAGCAGAACTTCCTGAGCTGTAAAGCAGATGTTCCAGGTGGGGATGAGGGATGGGGACTCAGCTGCTGGAGGAAAGCAGAGGCCACTCCTCTCTGAGGTCTGCAGGCCAGAGAAGAGAATGAGATAAAAATAGCTCTGTGCCTTGGCAGACCTAATAGGGAAGATTGGGGGCAGCAGCATTTATGGAAGAGTTCAGCTGGGGGTGGGTGGGATGCTTGGGTGGCCAGGCAAAGAGAGAGAGAGATCTGGAGAAGGGGCTCCTGGATGGTGTGAGTTCTTTGGAGGCGAAGGGGGCAGGGAATGCTGGATTCCCTATTGCAGATGTGGGAGGTGGTGACGTGGCAATGGTGGGGTGGAAAGCACCAGGGGACAGGAAGGCCCCAGGTGTGGGATAAAGTCATCTGGTCTCCCACACTCTATTCCTGGGAAAAGGAGGGAATCCCTTGTGTGGCGCCACCCCAGAGTCGAGGAACTGCTAGACATAATGATTTCACAGGTTAAGTTCGCATTGAACCCCCCTGCACACATGCGTGTGCATGTACACACACAAGAAATTCAGCACCTCCCACCCCTGGTTTATCAGAGCTCTCATTTTGATCTTATTTCCGAGTCATTGCTGCCCTTCTCTGGCATTTCCCTCCCTGTCTCCCAAACAAAAACTAGCAGTTTGGCATCGCATCCTATCAGGCGACACTTAGCTAGACAACAGCTTGTGAGTGAGAGAAGTGAATTCTACTAGTAATAGGAGTCAGTAGACTGAGGGGTGTGGGAAGATCAGGCCCCGTTGTGGGTATGGAGGCAGTTGCTCTAAAACACCATGCAAACAGGTAGAACTATGATTGTTAAAGAGCTAATTCTCCCAGGCAACAATGGGATATTATTAGAGTTCTCTTAGAATCCAGAAATGGCGGGAGAGCTATAAAATGGAAATACAGTCATGCATCGCATAATGACTGGGATACGTTCTGAGAAATGTGTCATCAGGCAATTTCGTCATTGTATGAACATCATAGAGTGTACTTGCACAACGTAGATAGTACAGCCTACTACACATCTAGGCTACACGGTATAGCCTACTACTCGTAGGCTGCAAATCTACCTGTACAGCATGTTCCTGTACCGAACACTGCAGGCAATTGTAACTCAGTGGTATTTGTGTGTCTACGCATATCTAAACATAGAAAGGATATAGTAAAAATACAGTGTAAAAGATTTTTTAAAAAGTACACCTGTATAGGGCACTTACCATGAATGGGGCTTGCAGTACTGGAAGTTGCTCTGGATGAGTCAGTGAGTGGTGAGTGAACGTGAAGGCCTAGGACATTACTGTTTGCTCGTGTAGATTTTATATATTCTGTACACTTAACATAAGTTAACCTTAGCTTACTGTAACTTTTTTACTTTATAAACTTTAACATTTTTAAACTTTTTTTTTTCTTTTTAAGAGATGGGGGTCTTGCTCTGTCACCCAGGCTGCAGTGTGGTGGCACAGTCATAGCTCACTGCAGCCTGCTGGGCTCAAGCAATCCTCCCACCTCCACCTCCTGAGTAGCTGAGATTACAAGCCTGTGCCACCAAGCCCAGCCTTTAAAAAGTTACTTTTTAAACTTTTTTTGTGAAAAACTAAGACACAAACACACACATTAGCCTAGGCCTACACAGGGTCAGGATCATCAATATTCGTGTCGTCCACCTCTACATCTTGTCCCACTGGAAGGTCTTTAGGGTTAACAACACGCACGGAGCTGTCATCTCCTATGATAACAATGACTTCTTCTGGAATACCTCCTGAAGGACCTGCCTGAGGCTGTTTTATAGTTAACTGTTTTGTTTTTTATGAGTAGGGGGAGTCGTACATTCTACAATATCAAGAAAAACTATGCTATAGTAAATACATAAACTAGTGACATAGTCCTTTATTATCATTATCAAGTATCATGTACTCTACGTAACTGTATGTGTTGCGCTTTTATATGACTCCCAGCACTACAGGTTTGTTTACACCAGCATCACCACAAACACGTGGGTAATGTGTTGCGATATGACATTATGACAGCTGCAATGTCACTAGGGGATAGGAATTCTTTAGCTCCATTATAATCTTATGGGACCACCATCGTATACGTGGTCTGTCATTGACCAAAATGTTGACAATGTAGTGCATGACTATAAATGTTTTTCTGGAGCAGTTTTTTGAGACAGAGTCTTACTTTGTCGCCCTGGATAGAGTGCAGTGGTGTCATTGTAGCTCACAGCAACCTCAAACTCTCGGGCTCAAGCGATCCTCTTGCCTCAGCCTCCCAGATCGCTAGGATTACAGGTGTGAGCCACCGCGCCTGGCCTCTGGAGCAGATTTGAGGAGGTAAAATTGGTGACCTGTACATGACCAAC